AAACCTCGAAAGGTACAAGGTGTACAACTGTTAGTGACTTGCTACTGTAACAAGCTGCTCTGATTTAAACTTTATTCTTTAAAGTTTAACTTCAACCCAGCAGCGTAGCGTGGGTTGTCAGCACCCGGGGCAAGGCAAGTAATTTGCGCCCCCTAACCCGTGGATTTGCGCCCCCTAACCCTACAAATCTATGCCTATGAATGATGGTCCCTCTCTCTCTCTCTTTCTCATATTCCAATTGATTCCCATTTCCGCCGATCGATCCCCGAAGCTCTCACCCAGCAAAATTCATGCGTAATTACGCTTCGCCATCCCTAATCCTGCCGCTTCCACCGGGAAATCATGACGGTGCGTTTCTCCTCTCCAAACTTTCCCCGGCCCTTTGCCGGCCAGCACAGCCCTTTTGGCTACGAGCTCCCCTCCTTCTCTGCCCGCTTCCGACCCCACCCATCCGCGTCCAGCCTCCCTACCTCCTGAAAAAAGGCGACGGCGCCGAGCAGGACACCCCTGTGGCCATCGGAGAGAGGCAGGGCCGAGGGAGGCAAGCCAATGGGCGAGGCGGGGGTAGGTGGCCACGGGGGCGGGCGTTGCCGCAGTCCTCGGGTGGGCAAGGTAGGAGCAGGCGGAGGCTGGCCGGCCGCTCTGACAATAGGGGCGGGCCGAGGGCACGACGGGGCTGGGCCCTCTGGACTCGCGCCCCCCCCCAGATGTTGCGCCCGGTGCGGGCGGCACCCCTGGCACCCCCCACGCTACGCCACTGCTTCAACCTAGATCCCTTGGCTGTCAGCTAGCTTTCTTGGAAGACCACTTTAAGAACTGAATGAGGGGTTATAGCCCATCTCCTCAGCTCCATTGGCTTCCTAAGTGGGCCTGCTGGCAAGTTCAGTTCCCACACTTATTTCACATTATTTTGGGGCCTACATCAGCACTTGAGGGAGCAAGTTTTGCCTCATAGCGGGGCAGATTTGGCCCAGGAGTCTCCAGTTGCTGACTCTTAATTCTATTCAGCTCCATCTAGGATAAAGTCGTTGTTTTCGTCGCATTCCTTGGGGACGCAGGTAAACAGTTTCCTTTCTGCTATTCTTTTAAAAAAATGTTTCAAAATGTATGCTCTCTCTCTGTGTCTCTGATCACGCCTGCTGTCCTTGCCCCCTTCCAAAGGCTGATTACCTGTGGTTTTTCCAAATGTCTTTCATGCAGGGGCAAAACTAGGCTGTATTTCACCCAGGTCAAAGACCCAGTTTGTCACCTCCCATGTGCATTTGCACACACATGCACAGGCTGGGAGCTTCATGGTGCCCCTCTGGTGGCTTCACCCAGGGCAACCCCCCCCCCACTAGTGCCACACACCCCAGCTATGGCAAAAAACCAAAGGATGCCATCAGGAAGTTATGGGGCCTATTCTGAGTTATGGGACATGCGCTGATTGAAAACAAAGCACTAAGACTGCCCCAAACCTTTGCAGCTGCAAACAGGATAAACAGCAAGGACACATTTAACCCCCTCGATGCCATCAGCAGCACAAATCATCATGAATGTGCAGTAAGGGGGAGGTCTAGAGAGGCTCTGAACCTGCACTCTGCCCTAGTTGCTGGTGCTATGTAAGTAACACAAGCAAGTTTTGATGGGAAGCAGGTGTTCCCTTTGCCTCTTAATAACAGTCTTGCTGGTTTCAGCTACCTTTGCTCCACCTTGGTCCTTCTGCAGATGCTCTCAGGCTCTAATTCTGTCCCTGCTGGGACTTGTGCCCAGCACCAACACTGGCTAGGTTGGGAGTGTGAATGCTGAAAGTGACAAAGAACAGAAACTGTTATTATTACTTTGGGGAAAATATCTGTATCACGGTAGAATGCCAGTGGGACGCGGGTTGCACTGTGGTCTAAATCACTGAGCCTCTTGGGCTTGCCTATCAGAAGGTCGGCGGTTCGAATCCCCGCAACGGAGTGAGCTCCCGATGCTCTGTCCCAGCTTCTGCCAACCTAGTAGTTGAAAAGCACACCAGTGCAAGTAGATAAATAGGTACCACTGTGGCAGGAAGGTAAACGATGTTTCTGTGCACTCTGGTTTCTGTCACAGTGTTCCGTTACGCCAGAAGCGGTTTAGTCATGCTGGCCACATGACCCGGAAAGCTGTCTGTGGACAAACGCTGGCTCCCTTGGCCTGGAAGTGAGATGAGCGCCACAAACCCATAGTCGCCTTTGACTGGACTTAACTGTCCAGGGGTCCTTTACCTTTACCTAGGATGTCGTAGTAGGTACGAGCATGTTGCATTTTAATTTGGAGGTTTTTTTGTCGCTGAAACAGGATTTTCAAAAGTATCAGCGTTCCCAACCCCACTTGCCTTAGCAGTGTTATAGTTTGAAGCCTAGGAAGTGGGTGAGTAGTTGGTAGTCTGCAGTTTGCATACTCCTTCATGCTTTCTTGATTGGTTGCTTCATCTGGGATACAGATGTGTTGTGAAAAACCAACACTGTCTCTCTCTCTTTGAAGACTCGGGACTTCAGCGGCATTGTAAATGTACATGTTTCTCTAGAATATATTTGCATTAGATTGATAAGGTCTATGAATAATAGTGATTTCTTTTAGATCAGAAAGATAGATTTCAGTTATATGTACTGGTAAAGACAGCTTTCCGCGTTTGTCAAATTTTAATAAACATTTCTCCCCCAACAGTGCAGATATATTCTGCTTGCAACTTGTAGCACAAAAGCATAGCAACATTATGTTTATATTATAGAGTTGCAATCTTCTTCTAGGAATCATTCTCAAACGTCTGATATATATACAGAGAGTTTTGATGACAACAATTTTGACTGTACTCTAGTTGTTGCTGTTTACATTTCTGAATGGTTGTGGATTAAGGTGGTATGTCCTGGTGAACAATCAGACCTTGTATAACCCACTTTCAACCAGTGTTAGAAACTGAGATATGAAAGCTAGGAGCTAAATTGCATCCTAAGCTTAGGTTATGGGTGCAACAACAAAATGTCTAGGCACATTTTTTTAATAAGAATGCCAAGCTGAAAATGAATGAACTACAGCTAAAATACTATGTTCATTTTTCACATGGTCTAGTCCTTCTCCTGCCCACCCCCCTAATATTCTTAAGAGGGTCTCTTCTCCAGTCTTCAGAGAGTGGCTGAAAGTGGGGAGGCAGAAAAAGCTCATCCTTTCCTTCTGCAGTTTTAATCTGAAATCTTAAGCACAGTACTGCACCCAGAGCTCAGAAACTGCTCGCGCTAATGAAATTCCCTGTCGCAAAATGTACCTAGAACAATGGGAGTTTCGAACACTGCTTTCGACCCATCTGATTTTTTAAAAAGGTTCATAAGGTTGCTTGATTGTAATAATATGAAACTTATGCATATTGAAACACCAGGAGATTTGCTGGGAGTGATGAATGAGAGTGTGGATTTACTCTGCACAAAACACAGTTGCCAGGGACTTTTGTCTCTTTAAGAATGATTCAGCTAAAAGGCGAAGAAAGAACAGGTCAAAAGGGAGTTTGGGCCCATGCTGGTATTTCCTGCAAGCTAAATAATTCCAGCAGGGTACAGAGCTAAACAAACCTTGAACGTTTCTAGAGTTTATAAAGACAAGCTTCTTACTTGGGACTCCGTGGTGATAAACAAAAAAGGATTTTAGTTGGAATTTTATAGAGTTTTGGGAGATGCTATAGTGAACATTCAAAGAGTGCGATATACAAAGTCCTCCTTTCAAATTCTCTTCAGTGTGATAAGGAAGCTTCTGTCTGTGACTCTTAGGCTGTGTACACACCATACATTTAAACCACACACCTTGCCACATCAAATCTTGGGAAATTTAGTTTAAGGTGCCGGGGAATGTAGCTTTGTAAACTACAGTTCCCAGAAATCTTCGGGGTGGAAATGTGCTTTAAATGTATCGGCAGCCTTAGTCCCTAATTCTGCGGTATGAGAATCAAAATATGGGGGGTGTTGACTTCCAGGATTGTTGTAAGACTTATTGAGATAAGGAAGGGTTGTCCAATGGTGACCTTTAATCTAACTGAAAGGACTTCTGCTTGTGCATGGCTGAGAACCTGGTTTTCACTGATTCCAACCCCCTGCCCTGCTCAGCCACCTGTGCCCCAGCCCAAAAGCTGCTCCTGAGGATTGAGGGGTGCTCCAAAACAGTATGGGGCATAGCACAGAATGGTTCAGTGTAGAGTGTCCTATCTCGTATGAACAGAAGTACGTTCTGCAAGCATGGGGGGGTGGGGGCTCTGTTCCCAGAGCCCACTTGAGAGGGCTGAAGATTCCTGAGGATCAAAACCCTCCCCCTTTGTAAAGCCTCAGAGCCCTGTGGTTGCACAGTAACATGTGTTCCTTCTTTTATATATATATATATTTTATTAAGGATTTTCTTGTTTTACAGAAGTGTAGTGCCTCGTTTTTTGTTTGTTTTTTCCATGTAACATTTTTACAAATCCATTTCATTTGTTGAGGCATTAGGGGGAGAAGAAAAAAGAAAGAGGGAAGAAAAGGGGGGGTGGAGAGAGGGAAGATGGATGGGGGTGGGGTCGGGTGACGGTGTTTCTATTATGTTTAATGTGTGTAGAGTTTGGTGTCAGCGTTGTTTGTGTTGTTCACTTGTGTTCCTTTGGTGGTGAGAGAGGTTGGGGTTGGCCTAGGGTGTGATTGTTTGCTTGTGATTGGCTGTGGTGATCTTTGTTTTCGTGTGTGAGTGAGGTGGGTGGGTGTTTTGGATCAGGTTAGCCATATTGATTTGTATGCTGTTGGTGGATTATTGTCATTGTCCTGTTGGGCTGTGTGTGTGATAAAGGGGAGCCATACCGGGGTGAAGGTGTCTTCTTCTGTTTGTCCCCGTGTCAGTTTCAGTTTATTAGTTAATTTTTCTAGTAGACATGTGTTCCTTCTTATTATTTTTGCTTTATGATACGTTAAGGTTGTTTCGTTACTGTCAGTCATGGCATAAACGGTTTCATTTCATGTTATTTGTGTGTGTTTCTGTGTGCTTAGAATCTCCATAGGTCCACCAATGTGGTCTACCAAGCTCACCACGTTAGCAGGAGTAAGAGAGGGCAAGTCGTGGGCTCAAGAGGTGGCTTTCGAGGCTGTACAGTGTGGCTCACAGGTATCGTACTCATGATTAACTCAGCAAGTTGGCACATGGGAAAAGCTATTCACACAGTGGACAAAGTTACTGTACTGCAACTGATGGGTCCATTATTATAAGTCACGTATAAGGAGAAAGAGGTGTTGTTTAATGTTCAGTTCAACATGGCCAAGAGATGTGAGTTCCAAACACTTTAATATAGTGGTGGTGACTTGCTGGCCCATGGTTTGTGCCTGGCTCCCCAACCATTTTATTTTTGTTTAATTTGTTCCTGCCACAGACGCCCACCAACTTTGCCAGTAGCGTGGCTCATCTGACAAATAGTGAGGGGGTGATAACCCCTGTGTGTCAGCTGATCTATGTGTGCCCTGTATCTGTTTGTGTTTGGTGCATGTGGCATATGCGCATATGTGAGGCAATGTATTTGTTACTGTCACTGGATGCTCAGAAATTGAGACTTCATGTAGAGCCATTGTTCGCATGCAGTCCTGGGTGGCCACAGCAGCTCCCTGGCTCCCATTTCCCCAGCTACAGTTTTTTTAAATGTCTATCTGTAGCCAAAATGGACTGAAAGAAGCTTTGCACAAACTGTGCTGTTAGTCAACACTCCACTGTAGACACCTTTTCCCTGAGCAGCTAGAATATTTGTGAACATTTCCCAGCAGCTCAGTCAATGGATAAAGAGACTCATACATGACCAAAGACAAACACACATACCTGTTGTTTGATAAGTTAGATAACTTGTTTATAAAGAAATAAGAATGTTTTATTAAATGAGTTCCAGTTACAGATAGGTAGCCGTGTGGGTCTGCCATAGTCAAAATAAAAAAATTCCTTCCAGTAGCACCTTAAAGACCAACTAAGTTAGTTCTTGGTATGAGCTTTCGTGTGCATGCACACTTCTTCAGAAGAAGTGTGCATGTTATCTGAAGAAGTGTGCATGCACACGAAAGCTCATACCAAGAACTAACTTAGTTGGTCTTTAAGGTGCTACTGGAAGGAATTTTTTTATTAAATGAGTTTAGTTGCATGATCTTTGAGAACTTATTTTATGACATATTTGTGAATGTGAAGGGTCCTTTGGTTTACATGAAAAATCACAGATTTTATGCACTGCCTATTATTAATACAGGTCTTTCTGGTGCTGGCAAGACAACCATTGGGTTTGCACTTGAAGAGTACCTTGTGTCTCATGGCATCCCTTGCTACTCCCTTGATGGGGATAACATTCGTCACGGACTCAATAAAAACCTTGGCTTCTCTGCTGATGACCGAGAAGAAAATATCCGTCGCATTGCTGAAGTTGCCAGGCTGTTTGCCGATGCCGGACTTGTTTGCATAACAAGTTTCATTTCTCCATTCTCAAAGGTACACCTTTCAAGAAAAACAGAATATTTCCCATGCTGTAAAAGCTACTTTTACTAATATTTGTGGAAAGAAGATACATAATTTCCGCCCTCCCTTCCCAACAGGTGGGCTGGGTTTGTGACACCGAGCGGGCTTACCTGGTCTGGTGCCTCCCACCTGGGTCAGGGTGGCTATCGTCCGGCCCCCGGCCTGGAAGGACAATGGACGGCCGGCTGGGGGTGGGGCAAAGGCCAAGGGAAAGAGTCTAACCCCTTTGGCCAAACCTCACTTTGTTTCTTTCTCTTTCAACATTTGGGAGCTAAAAATACAGTCCTTTAAATATATTGTTTCCACGTAAAGCATTGTCAAGGGGTGTTGGAATGGAGGTTGGTCCAATATTTTTATTCAGCATTATGCAAAAGAATTCTCTTTATAAAATATAAGCATGTTTCTGGCAGAGAGAGAGAGAGAGAGAGAGAGAGAGAGGGGCTGTGTCCTGTGTCTGTGTGCCCTGTAGGTCTGGATACATCCCATGTTTGGATTAATGTTGGTATTTTAATGTGGGTATATCTCTTCTTTTATTTTAAATGTTATCTTAATGCTGACGTATTGTGCTGTTTTGCTGCTATTTGTGGGTAGATGCCCTGAAAAAGCAGGATAAATACCTAGAAACAAATGAACAAATAATACGAGAGAGAGAGAGAGAGAGAGAGAGAGAGAGAGAGAGAGAGAGCGCTTTGTATCAATGTCCTGTCATGTCTCTCTCTCTGTGAGTGTGAGTGTTTGTACTGTAACGTTAAAGGAAACAAATGTTAGCATTGGTATGCTATTATTTACTCTGCTTTCCTTTTATACAGGACCGCCAGAATGCAAGAAACATTCATGAGGCAGCTGGACTTCCTTTCTTTGAAATCTTTGTAGATGCTCCCCTGAATATCTGTGAGAGCAGGGATGTGAAAGGCCTTTATAAAAAAGCACGAGCTGGAGAAATAAAAGGTATGCCAGTTTTTGCATCTACTGATAATGTATTCTATTCCCCACATGGAATCCCCAGTTCACATCACGCCCCCCCCCTTCTTCCAGAAGTCTCCCTTGAGCAGCAGACTTGCTTTGACTGAACTCTGCCCCAGTCTGAATTTGTGTGTTATTAGATACCCAGCTGAGAGGTCCCAGGGCCTCCCATGGCTGTGCCATGGCTAACTGCAGCTATGGACCCAACACAGCTATGTTGCAGGAAGGAAGGGGCATTCTGGTGACACATTCTCCTGTTTGAAACCCAATGAGCTAGATAGGAAACTCTGCTGCCTTGGAAGGCAGCAATTTCTCTGTAGTGTTTTGACTTAAGTAGTTGATGAGATGTCTCCAGCAGTTCGAGCAAAAGATGCAAAAGCCATTCCTAAGCATGGGTGTCCTGAAAGAGAACACATTTCCTTGCCCTTTTTAACCACTTGACTGCCATGCTATTGTTTATGTAAATGAATATTCCACACTCTAGGATTCACTGGAATTGACTCAGATTATGAGAAACCAGAAGCGCCTGAAATTGTGCTGAAAACCAACATATATTCTGTCACTGAATGCATCCAGCAGATTGTGGACCTCTTGCAAGATCAGGTACACTGTTTAAGTAACGAAACCTAGAAAAGCATGAATGTCTCTTCCCCCCCCTTCCCAGACCCATTTTAAAAAATGAATATTGTCACTAAGGGCCTACACATCTTCTTTTTATCCTCTAGAACATTGTTCCGCCAACTGCGATCAAAGATGTCCTTGAACTGTTTGTCCCTGAAAATAAAGTTGAACAAGCTCGGGCTGAAGCCAATACACTGCCTTCTGTGAAGATTACCAAGGTAAGAGAGTAGTAACCTGGAGGTGTGAAGTTGTGTTAATCTGCTGTAGCAAAACCATCCAATGGTAGTGGATTTCTTCACCCTTACATTCCTACCTGTGTTCCAAGGATTATGCATTGTTTGGTGCACTGTGTATCAGGGAGGTCTATCAGTGCATAGAGCCACTAATTCTTGTTGGTGCCACTTCAGCACCGTCTTCATTCACATCTAAAGCAGCATCATACCACTTTAAACAGCCATGGCTTCCTCCCAAAGCATCCTGGGAAATGTAGTTTGCTAGAGGGCACTGAAAGTTGTTAGGACTGCAGACCTCTATTCCCCCTCACAGAGCTACAATTCCCAGAGATCCCTAGGAAGAGGGCTTGATTGTTAAAACCTCTCTGGGAATTGTAGCTCTGTAGAGGGGATGGGGGTCTTTGAACAACTCTCAGCACCCTTTAATGAATTACGGTTTCCAGGATTCTTTTGAGGAGAAGCCTTGGCTGTTTAAAGTGAAATGATGCTACTTTAAATGTATAGTGCAGATGGGACTAAAGCCTGTGGCAGTATATTCCCAAGAAGGCTCTCCAATCCTTATTTCTATATATGTTCTATCAGAAGATAACAAAAAAAAAAGACCCAGAACTAGCTCAGCCTTCAAGCCGATCGAGCAAACTGCATCAGCTTGCCAATTTTATAGTTTAGTATATTTTTATTACTCTTGGAGGGGTGCCATCTGAATGTTCTGCATCGGGTATCAAAATTTATTGGATTGCCTTTTGAATGCTTTCCAATCCTAGATTTTTACTGGCTTCTTTTAACTACTTCTGGATTTTAATGTATATATACATATTATAAAATAGTTGTTTTCCTGTTTGTATTGCATTTTGGAAGTGATCTTTGTCAATTTTAATTATGAACTTATTGTAACTTCATTGCCCATCACCTTGTCCACCTACCTGGTAGAGAGGCAGCCGGCAAAGGTGGTAAATAAACATTCCCAGGGCATCTTAAAGACTGACACATTCACTGTGGCATATGCCTTTGTAGACTAAGATCTACTTATTCAAATGCAAGATGGGAGAGTAAATTGGATAAATAGTTCTGTTCTAATCATCTATATCACTCTGTCTACTGTATACCTAGGGAAATCAGGGTCCAGCTAAATATATGTATCCTTCTCAGTGTGTTCAGTAAAATACAGTCATATGTAATCAGTACTTAAAACATTTCTTTGTTACCTTATGCCTTAATGTCATCATTGGGTGCACCAGGGGTGAGAAACTATTTGTTGAACTATAACTCCCATAATCTCTGACCATTGGCTATGCAGGCTAGGCTTGTTGGGAGTTACATCTGGAGAATTAAGGATTTCCCTTCCTGATTTACACTATGGAAAGGTTCCTCAGAAAGACCCGTTTCCTCTCAGCTACCTCTGGCAGAAGTTGCTGGCCCCCTTATGTGTCATGGACATGCTAATGAGAGAGTTTACAAGATGGGTGGCCATTATGCCTCAGGGAGCCAGAATCCAATATCCTGCATGTACCTCAGGTTTTCCCAGTTCCATAATATTCAAACCATATTCTAAGGAATCATCTAAAGCTTATCCAGACTTTCATAATAATAAGAGGAGTAAAAGGCTGCTTGTTCGCCACTGCCAGTCTCTCTCTAGAATGCGCTAAGTTGCTAAAGGAGAGTGTTTGATGTATTCTTAGGCCACCAACCTTTAACTTACCTGTGAGTTTGGGGACCCATTTCCCAATTGCTATTATTATTTTTACTGTGTATCTGTATGGTGATAGTGCTGTTGTTGTGGCCCACTTCAGATCAGGCCACAACCATGTAAGTGTGAGGGAACTTCACCATCTGAAGACCAATGTTCTAGGTTAATCATTCACTTCAGCCAGGACTAGACCAAGGCCCAGTGGTCCCAGTCCACACCCTGTGTTAATTCCAGGGTCTAAAACATTCCTTAAGGCAGGCATCCCCAACCTTCGGCCCTCCAGATGTTTTGGACTACAATTCCCATCATCCCTGACCACTGGTTCTGTTAGCTAGGGATCATGGGAGTTGTAGGCCAAAACATCTGGAGAGCCGAAGGTTGGGGATGCCTGCCTTAAGGTACTCAGCTACATACAGGTGTCCTGTGGCCGACTTACAGACAAATCAGTTTAGAAACCCCCCCCCCCAACAAACACAAAATGAAGATTTAACAACCGCTAGTCAACACTGAGTTTATTCCAGGCTTCTTTTATCTTTGATGCTTTTGATCCCAATGCAATTGGAATCAAAATGATTCCGACACCTGTGGCCATCTACTGGCTAATATTTGCAGGTGCAGCCATTTACGCTTCTACAACTGCATGATTAGAAATTAATATCCGGCTACTTTTGTAGAAATGCTAGCTTTTTTTTTTTTTTTGAGGGCTGTGTATTATTATTAATTGCATGCCTTTCGTATATATTTGAGTTGGGGCTAAGTTGATATAAACTGGCTATAAGCAAGCAGTAAATTTCCAGAGCTGTGAGGGGGATCCAAAACCTGCCTCCTACACAGTGTCTATCAGGTGAAGAGGCTTTACTGCCTTAATGATGAATCTAAGTGCACCTTTTATTTATTCCTATACAGTGGTACCTCTGGTTACGTACTTAGTTCGTTCCGGAGGTCCGCTCTTAACCTGAAACTGTTCTTAACCTGAAGCACCACTTTAGCTAATGGGGCCTCCCGCTGCTGCCGCACGATTTCTGTTCTCATCCTGAAGCAAAGTTCTTAACCCGAGGTACTATTTCTGGTTTAGCAGAGTCTGTAACCTGAAGCGTATGTAACCTGAAGCATATGTAACCCAAGGTACCACTGTATCAGAGAATGGTTGGTATTACTACTGAAGGGAGAGGAATTACATGTGGGGATAATATTGCATTGTAGCGAAGGTTTCCCAATATTGCTGGCATTGTGTGATCTGGTCATGAACCATGAGAAAACTCTTGGGGAGATACAGCTCACAGTATATGGGTTTCCCTCAACATAACCTGCCCATCATAATGACTGACACCTGCTAGTAAAAAAATGTGGTTATGATGTTTTATGCCTTTTGTTTTGGTCATAAATAACTTACACTTTTTAGTAATTGGGCCTGTATTTTAGTAGTGGAAATGTAGTCGCTTTTATCTAAGAAAATATTTTTTTGGGGGGCCACACAAGAATTGGGGACACTCCATTGTATTTAATTAGAAAGTAATTTGCAATACTTAAAAGTGTGAAAACAGGCAGTCTTTACTTGTGTTGTAAATCTGCCATATGCTGTTCTCTTTTTTTCAGTTGGATCTGCAGTGGGTTCAAGTCCTAAGTGAAGGTTGGGCCAGCCCATTGAAAGGGTTTATGCGGGAGAAAGAATACTTGCAAGTTATCCATTTTGGCACCTTGCTTGATGGTATGATTTGCCGGTTCCTACACTTTGTCGTTAGAGCTTTTGCCTGCCTATATGCACATTGCGGGAAATTCAGCAGAAGAAATCAGTTCAGAACACTTACCTGTTGAGGTGACTGGAGCATAGCTTTTGAATGAAACAGTTCACATTACTGCTGTATTGGGAGATGTGAAAAAAAACAACCTGCTGATCACATACAGGTGCATCCATGCCAGATTCTGGGCATGTCCAGTTGAACTAGACCTAGCCTCACTCCCAAGGGCCACAGAAAACACACAAAGCCTAAGCCTTTGTTTTGGGGGAGCATTTCAGTCATACAAGCTTTCCACTTTATTTCCCAAGTCACTGGGCTTTAAAATGCTATTTGTGGTGTAATGGATAGAGTATTGGTCTAGGAAACCTTGGATTCAAACATGCATGAATCTCACTCAGTTATCTTGGATCACTTACTGGGCATAATGCAACAAAAGTTAGCTGTAACTAAATTCCACTGAAACCTAGAGCTGAAAGTAGTTTAAGAGATGCTTTAATTCCCATGGGGTATGCACACATTTCTCATGTCCCACCATTGCTCCCTGAAAATAGGATTCGCAGGGTTTTGTTTTGTTTTTTTGAAAGCATACACAACCTGGAAATCTTAGGAAAGTGGAATGGAGCCCTCTTCACTTAAGTCCTATTCCACTGCTTGCCATAATATTTATTTGCAAAGAACCTTCGTGAGATAACACATGTGATCTTTTAATCTTGCCTATATGGAGTAGTTGTTATTAACATAAAATAGGAAAACCTCAGAGCCCTTATCATGTGCAACTAGTGCCCCCAAATAAAAACCTGCATTCTCACCTGCATAAAAGGACAGATTCAGTCAGTGGGTTCCAGCCTTGCATCATAATACAGCACAGGATGCACAACTGCACCTGCGTTAACTGCAGCCTTGAGAACCTTTTTCTCTCTTCCTGCATTGGTCTGAATGAAGCAAGAGGATGTTGAGGGTTACAACATCAAATTGAAGTTATTTGCCTGGGGGTGGGGGGTGGGCCAGTTAAAATATGGTTGATAATTGTGCTTATATTTTGCCAGGAAGGGGTAGAGTTGATATATCCGAGCTTGGTACGTATTCAGTTGTTTTCTTCCCCCACTATGGTATGAAAATAATTACAGTTGTGAGATTTTCATTTAAAAAGTTAGAAAATGTATGTTATGGAAATGAAATTTTGATGTAGAGGTCTGCAATCCATGACGAGTATATTCGTGATCCAACCAGTTACCAGTACCAGCTTCCTCAAGCATTTTTATTGGCTGGGAAAGGATATGTCTTAATTGGCTTTGATCCCTGATTGGCAAAGCTCTTATTAATTTCCATGGATCAGGTTTGCACTCAGTTCTTTTGTTTAAGGCAATTCCTCACTGAATATTAGCCATGTGCAACTTGTCAGCCACTGATCCACATGCAGCTCTCCAGTCCCATACGCTGAATATTTGATGATAAGGCCATTGGTGGACTCCGCAGTTTTATCTCTAAAATGTACATTTCCAAAGAGCTTTCGATAAGACTTAAATAAAAATGCATCTGGTTGAATTGCACTATGAATATATTAAAAGTTCCTGATTATGCATGGATTAAATATGGGTGACCTATAGACTTGGTAAGTATAAAATTTAAAATAAGGTCAGCAGAATCTGCACGGTGGCTTGGATTCAAAGGTTCCCCCTCTGTGAGCAGAAAACCTCTTTTGATCATGGGAGGGCTGTGGAAGAGCGTTGCACAAGAACAGTTCTTCTGTTTCCGCAATACCATTTGCTATTATTGCTCTGGATTCCATACATTAACTGGTTTTACTTCACATCCCTGACATATGTGCAATGCAAGCCCTCGCAGCTGGAATGCAGAAAAGCACTTACAGCAGCCACTTGCAAACACAGCTATTTAAAATCCCCAAGCTCCAAGAGCCATGCAAGCCTGGCTTTCCTAATGTTTGTTAAGTGGCTATTGCAAGCACTTTTCAATGGAGACATGTTTGCTCTCCAGCCATGATGTCATACTTTCCAGGGGTGAACGGCATGTGTCCAATGTAGTTGCACAATTTATTTGGATACTGCAAAGATACTTTATTGCATTAGACCTTCAGCTTGTACCCCAGCCATTAAGGCTTGCTTTGCCCAAATGTAAAGGATTTAAATAAAGTCTTCAAAGAACAATACTAATCACTGTACTTGCTTTTTGCTAGTGCGTCTTTGGATCCAACCCATAACCAGGATGATCAGATGGATAATCTCAAGGATAGTTAGAGTAGTGCAAATAATCACCAAATCCATTAAAATTTTACTTTGAAATTGTAATGAAAATCACATGCATTCAATGGTTAAAACTGCCATGATACTTCATTTCAAATTTGTCATTGATTACATTTTTTATGAACTGAAACCTTCAAAAAAAGTTTTAATATGTTTGCGAGCGTTAAAAACAACCACCAGCTAAAAAAAATTGGGTAAGTTTACTAGAGGGTATAGTTTTTACAAAGTAAATGTTGTGTTTGAGCAACAGCAAAACAAAACTGATTGTAAATATAGGAACACTGGAGGCACAACAAAACAGAAAGGCAAAGTGATATTTTGATGCTAAGAAGTGGCATAAACTCAGCATGTGATAGCCAACATTAGTCACAGTCTGAGTAGACCTATTGAAATAAATGAATTTACATAACTCTGAGTAGGTCTTATGTTGGGTATTACTCAGTATTGCACATACTGGAATGAGCAAGAGCATGAGTAACGGGGTTTTTTAGTGTGGGGGGTGGGTATGCATTTTGAAAATGTGCATTTTGAAAAATAATGTGCATTTTGAAATATAATGTGCATTTGGAAATATAATGTGCATTTGGAAATATAATGTGCATTTGGAAAAATTGGTGTGAGGGATGAGACATGTTAGGTATATTTGTTTATTAAGCACTTTACTGTGTTGAGGGCAATATGAACACAATCATGTAAGGAAAGAATGCACTGAGTTTCCATATTACCGTATTAAAAGACGTTTTTCTCTGGAGCTTTTTTCTCTTTGCTGCACCTTCATCTTTGAGAAGATAATGCTTCTTTGCATCCTTGTAAATACTCTCAAAGTACTTGTAAATACTCTCAAAGTACTCCTGTTTTGTGCCTTAAGGCCTATGTCACACCCTGTGTTCCTTCTTCAGTCTATTCAAACACAGCTGGTGTTTTGATATTCTATTATATATTTTGATGTTATAATGATGTTATATTGTAATGGATGTATAGCTAGAAGTATTTTGTTTCCACAAATTGTTGGGTCCTGCTTTTCGTTTTGAGTCCAGTGTTTGCACTTACCAGCCTTTTGGTGCTGGCATGATGGGTTTTGGTAGCAAATATATGGGTGAGGATTGCAGAAGGGTTCTTGCAAATTGATGACCCTACAAAGAATTTGACCTTGCCCTTCAAATCCATGGAGTACACACTCTCAGCACGAAATGGCCCAATTTTTCATTAATGAAAACATAGTTCACATGTATGTATGTATATATGTATGGATACATATCTTGGAGGAGTGCTACACTCACCATTTTCCTTCCCCCATTGCATGAAAGACAAATATCTAACTTCAGCTGGGTATGACAGGCAGAGGAGATCCAGTCAGTGAACTACCGTAATCCAGAGAACTCCCTAATAATTTATTAATCCCTTTTGGTTTTGCTCACTAAACTCCTCTTTTTCCTAGTCAGGCCTTTCAGTTGACCAGACCAAATATAGGCCTGGACTGAGTCTGAGGCAGACCTTCTAAAAACACTTGGCAGCTTAATTCTGCAGACAAAATACAGCTATGGCAGAAGAAATTGAGCAGGCCACTCTGCTGATTTGAGCGCACGCTGAACTGAACTGTCAGTCTTGCTATGGCTATGCTGTGACTCCACTGAGTCACCTACCTGAAGGAGCAATTTGTACAGAGTTTATGGCTAAATATGTCATTTGATCAGTGTAGCGATCATATGTCCTCTTTTTCCAGGACACTTCCTCTTTTTCATGGGTAGAGTCATCCTAGAGATCCATAATTAAAAGTAGAAGTTGGCCAATGTCTGCTCTTTTTTCGCTCTTCAAAATATGGCAACCCTACAAATTTATAGATAAATTTTGCTGCAAAATCAAAGAAAACAAACCTTAGTTTAAAAAAGAAGAGAGTAGCTACTGGTGAAGAGCAAAGGTCCGAAGATCACTCATATAAAATGCTAACGATTATATGAGTCTTGGAAGCAATCAGCAAACAAACCAGTAATCATTACAAGACACCATATCGTTCTGAACTCTGGTTCTGAACTAAGGGATTCACTTTGTCCTTGATCCAGGAGTTGCACAGCCACTCCTAAGTGTTCCTATGTGTTTTCCCCCATTCACTCCAATAAGAGGGCACAGTACTGTGTGCATAAAGGGATGTTGACACAGAGCTCCTCCTATTGAAGTGGATGAAGAAATCCTTACTTGCACCTGAATGCTCATGCCTTGTGGCAACATGCGAGGAACAGTGTGTATGGATCTGTAACGTTCTAAATAAAAGCAACCACTTGAAAGTCCAGTTAGGAGGTAGATATTGCATCCTCTAACATCTTTGTTGAGTTGATGTTGTACCAACAAACTTGTAGTGGTATGAAAGGGTTTTTGTTTTTTACAAGGTGAATAAACTTTTTATTTAGTAGCTCATTTGGTATCCATGGGACGCGGGTGGCGCTGTGGGTAAAAGCCTCAGCACCTAGGGCTTGCCGATCGAAAGGTCGGCGGTTCGAATCCCCGCGGCGGGGTGCGCTCCCGTTGTTCGGTCCCAGCGCCTGCCAACCTAGCAGTTCGAAAGCACTCCCGGGTGCAAGTAGATAAATAGGGACCGCTTACTAGCGGGAAGGTAAACGGCGTTTCCGTGTGCGGCTCTGGCTCGCCAGAGCAGCGATGTCACGCTGGCCACGTGACCCGGAAGTGTCTGCGGACAGCGCTGGCCCCCGGCCTATAGAGATGGGCGCACAACCCTAGAGTCTGTCAAGACTGGCCCGTACGGGCAGGGGTACCTTTACCTTTACTTTGGTATCCAACTTTGCAAGTCAGTTCAAGTTAAGTCCAAAGTATGAGATTATGCCATCCAGTGTACTCTCTTGTGACTCCCTGTGCTTTGGTGTTATTTAACCAGGTTTTAATCACAGATTAAATGTAAAATGTTTTTTATTGCTCCGATACTTTAATTATTGCAAATGGTTTTTTATTGCATTTTGAAGGGTTATTGATTTTTGTGCTTCAGTGCAAATTGCCCTTGGAGCAGAAACACCAAAAGGTTCATTTATAAAACAAATACATTCACCATTGGGTGTGTCAACTGTGACAGCTCCTGGACAGAGACAACCTTAGCAAAGTGATCCATTCTCTGCTAACCTACAGATTAGACTACTGCAATATGTTAAAGGTGTAGTTGTCTTTGAAGACTGTTTGGAAACTACAATTAGTTCAAAATATGGTTGTTAGACTGTGAACTGGGGCAATTGATTGGGAGGTGTCTCGGCATGGAGAAATTGGATGGGGACAAGTTTTTCTCACTCTTTTACATATCAATTTCTGCTGGATCTGTTTTTAATTGCTGCTGTTTTTATCGTGGGGGTCCCACCCTTTTCTTTTCTTTTCTTTTAAAGTTTTATGTTGTAAGCTTCCCTGGGTGTTTTGTTTTAACATTAAAGCATGATATATAGATAGATAGATAGATGATAGATGATAGATAGATAGATAGATGATAGATAGATAGATTAAATAAGTAAATCGCCAAAACCTACAATTGATGACGAGGACCTTCTCATTTCAGTGCTTCCAGATGAGCAACTTAACCATCCTTTTCACATATCTGTGTGCCCCTCCCCATCTTGTTGAGCCACAGCTCTGATCATCAGTGGCTATTGGCCATGCTGGCTGGAGCTGGAGCCTAGCAACATCTGTGGAGCCATCCCTGATGTATTTTTTAATATATATATATATAAAGTTAATTGAAATAAAATTTCTTTCAACAGATGGCGTTATTAACCTGACCATTCCAATTGTACTACCAATAACTGCGGAAGACAAGAAACGCCTGGAAGGATGCAATGCGTTTACACTGGAGTACAATGGGCGGAGGGTGGCCATACTGCAAAATCCAGAATTTTTTGAGCACAGGAAAGAAGAACGTTGCGCACGTGTTTGGGGGACCACATGTGCGAAGCACCCGCATGTAAAGGCAAGTGATCACAGAATAAGTTCCTCTATTTCTGTGGCAGTGAATATGAGCAACCTTTCTACCTATTTAGGTTGATAGCTCTGCATCACTTCAATAGAAAACATAAATTCTGCTGCAGCAAGAACTAGGGCCTCCTCGGGAGTGGCCCCAGGACTCTTTCAAGAGGTGCAGTTGCATACCTTCCTCCAATGGCAATGTAAAAGCTCACTCACTTATCAGGGAAATCTTTGGGGTTTCAGTAGCCACTTGCTATGTTTTTAAACTGCTCACAACATTTCTATTTCGGGGCAGGTGAGAAAGGTGATACAGTCACATTTGTAATTACACTGGGCGCTTTTCAACTAATTTATGGTGTTAGTGCAAGGATTTGCACTAGTGCAATGGGTTGTCCCCCCACGTGCCGCTTACATCATTTCCAGTTGTGCTCTGGAGGGTTAGTGGACCCCCCCCCCCGATCAGATTTAGGGGGTTTAGGAGAGGGTGAGATCATTCCGTTGCACAGGGGGAAATGCCTGTGCTGACAGAACAATATGCTTAACGCTACATTGAATACAACACATGGTTGTTGTTGTTTACTGTAGCTATTAATACTGGGTTTTTTAATGCCTTGAGCTTTCTTTTCTTAAAATGAAGGTTGGCAAGGTTTGAAATAAATACATCTTTGTATTAGGAGCTAAAGATAGCAAGTTTCGTAAGAAGGAAGTATGCAGAAGTCTCAATGGCTATTTTGCACCAGTCTACCTCCCAGCCCCTGGCCTTTTGAATGGCTGTTGGGGTTGCTGAAGGCTGTGCCTTCCAGCTAAGCCTGAGCCTTTGCACCTCTCACCTAAGCACTGCCTGAAAATTGAAAAAATGAAAGGATGGCAGCACATGGGGGGTGGGGACAGATTAGAATGCACGAGTGAGAACAGAATCTGCCCTCCCTGGCATGCTCAGGGCTCCACATGTCCCTCCTTCCAACCTAGTTCCTGGAAAATCTTTCTGAACTGATTGCAAAATCAAGTTTATGAATTAGAAGCTAGCAACAGTAGATCATCTCTACTGTAAATAGGCAAAGTTCCGAGATATAAGTATATGGCAATATGGCCATGATATCAAAATTTTCAAGCAATGTTTTTCTAAACATGTAGCTGGGAGAGGAAAAGCAAAAGTTGTCATTCTCTGCTTCGAATTATCTTGAACTTTCTTGAACTGCCTGGAAGCCACAGTTTGCCTGCCACTCCTGCCACATTTCTGCTTTTTAAGCGGTCAGCACCACAAAACCTCTTCGATAAGGTCCCTCCATCATTTTACCATGGACAGCAGCTGTAACCCCACAGTTACATTATAAGTATCATTTTGCCTTAATTAACTGTGGTGTCCTTTGATAGATGGTGATGGAAAGTGGAGACTGGTTGGCTGGTGGAGACCTCCTTGTATTAGAGAGAATTAAGTGGAATGATGGGCTGGACCAATACCGCTTGACTCCCTTGGAGCTGAGGCAGAAGTTCACAGAAATGAATGCTGGTAAGTGTTTGCATTTGCAACATTGCTTGTACCATGTGGCAGGGAGCAGGGCCTTCTCCCTGGTGGTTCCAACACTCTGGAACTAGATGTCCTGCAAGTGTTGAGGAACATATATAAACCACACTGATCCAATACATTATGTTGCCTGATGCTGAGCTCAAGTGGCGTCCCCCACTAAGGTAACTTGTTAAAAAGATTTGCACCATCCAGGTACCAATTCCTGCCTTCATCTATTCCCACCCTCCAGGAGTTCTGCCGAAGCAGATGGTTTGACCCTGCTCTATAGTCCACTGAGACTAACACAGTGGTGGCTGTCCTGTCCTTCCAAATGATGGGACAGCGGCATTTTCGAAGCCTCAGAAAGGCAGTAAAACAGGAGTTTTCCTGAGCGCATAGCTGGCGTTGAGCAGCTCTGTTGGAGAGTGGTGTTTAAGAGAGGTTCTGATTTAGGATGCTGTATTTTCTTATCAGGATGATTGTTTCTGATGTGCAGATTTGCAAGTGTCTCTGTGAGGGCTTTATTGTTCTTTTATTAGGATTTTTGTTGTTGTGGAAGTCAAGAGATGTTGAAAATGAGGCGGACCATAAAATGTTTATAAATGAAAACAATGTGATTCTCTCTTTCATTGGGGGGGGGGGGAGAACGAAAAGTTATGTTCTTTGGATCGTGCCTTGGAGAAAAAAAATTAGTTTCCTACTATAGAAAGTCAAAGGCCTCCCAGGAGTGAATGATATTCATGCTAGAATTCCAGTGCCAATGTTGGCTTTATTAACAGGAATGGGGAACCAGTGGCCCTACAGAAGTCACTAGACTCCAGCTTCCATTGGCCCCAACCAGCGGTCAGAGATGATGGGAATTACAGTCCAGCAACATCCAATGTGGAAGGGCGCAGGTTCCCCATCCCTACTTTATAACAACCCTGGTTTAGGGATCTCTGTGTGTATGTTTTATATTATTATTAAGCCTGTAAATATTAAAAGCTGCTGTGTTTAATGTCGGTCCATATCATCTACTTTTCACTGCTTAGCATCGTGGTGCAGTTTTGCATGTCCTGGATCCTCCCGCATCTGCATTTCCCACTTCTTACGTTTCAGATGCGGTGTTTGCTTTCCAGCTGCGCAACCCTGTGCACAACGGACATGCCCTGCTGATGCAGGATACCAAACGGCGCCTCCTTGAGAGAGGCTATAAGCATCCTGTGCTGCTCTTGCACCCTCTCGGGGGATGGACCAAGGATGATGATGTGCCTCTTGAGTGGCGCATGAAGCAGCATGCTGCAGTGCTGGAGGAGCACGTGCTGGATCCAAAGTCCACCATTGTGGCCATTTTCCCTTCTCCAATGTTGTATGCTGGACCAACAGAGGTATGCATCATTTTGCTGTCCTCCTTTGCTTCTCCCTACAATGGGATTCTTTTCCTTTTAAATTATTTCTCTTAAGTCTTGGGAATTCCCTGGGAATTGTAGCTGCAGTGATGGGGACTACTAATCTCCAACAGAACATGATCAGTGCCCTCACTAACAGCACAATCCTGTACATACTTAGTTCAGTGGGGCTTATTCTCAAGTAAATGTGTATAGGAGTTTCGCCTAAACTATTATTTCCAGGATTCTTTGGAGATAAACATTGCAAACTGGTGCAAAACCATTGTAAGCTCAAAAGGGCTTACAAATATCAGTGAGAAAACAGTCGCAGCCCTCAAGCTCACTATAAAGGTAAAGGGACCCCTGACTATTAGGTCCAGTCGCGACCGACTCTGGGGTTGCGGCGCTCATCTCGCTTTATTGGCCGAGGGAGCCGGCATACAGCTCTCCGGGTCATGTGGCCAGAATGACTAAACTGCTTCTGGCGAACCAGAGCAGCGCACGGAAACGCTGTTTACCTTCCCGCCAGAGCGGTACCTATTTATCTACTTGCACTTTGACGTGCTTTCGAACTGCTAGGTTGGCAGGAGCAGGGACTAAGCAACGGGAGCTCACTCTGTGGCGGGGATTCAAACCACCAACCTTCTGATCAGCAAGTCCTAGGCTCTGTGGTTTAACCCACAGCGCCACCCGCGTCCCTAGGCTCACTATAGATGCAACACAAAAGAGGGGTTGGGAGGGAGCAGGCAAAATCAAGTTCAGTCACTAATTCTTAGTTACAGGGATTTTGTGGTGAGCATATGGAGCAGGGGGCAAATGGAGAGGGGAGTAAAATTGCTGATCTTACAGCAAAGGCGAGAGAGAAGTCCTGTAGCCTGTCTTTTCTCCTCTCCTATAGTGTGATGGAATGGCTGCTGAAAGTTGAGGGAGGAGCATGAATTTGTTATGGGTTTTCATCCAACCCTCCTTGGAAGTTTTTAAGCAGAGGTTGGATGGCCATCTGTCATGGATGCTTTAGCTGAGATTCCTGCATTGCAGGGAGTTGTGGACTTCCAAATCTACCATTCTATGATCCCTCAAAGTTTTTTCAGCCAAACTCAATCCATCCATCTATCTGGCAAACTCTAATCCTGTGGTGCTTCCTCAGGTCCAGTGGCACTGTCGGGCTCGGATGATTGCTGGAGCCAATTTCTACATTGTGGGTCGAGATCCGGCTGGTATGCCTCACCCAGAGACCAAGAAAGATCTGTACGAGCCCACACAAGGTGGGAAGGTGCTCAGCATGGCTCCAGGACTGAACTCTGTGGAAATCATTCCCTTCCGAGTAGCAGCATACAGCATAGTACAAAAGGCGATGGTCTTCTATGATCCGGACAGGTAAGTGACACAGTAAATTACCACCTGTAGTGGTTTTCTAATGGCTTACCTAGGCCTATGTGCTCATTTGCATCAGAAACGGTTCTTTCCCACATTCTCCTCCACATGAACTATGATGAGACTTCAAATGAAACGGCACAAGATATGTTGAAAGGCAATTGAAGCCTCACAGATGAAAAAAGTATATGTTGTTAATTTAAATTGCTTGAAACTGTGGGGAGGCTCATTTTGCAGCATGCGAAAATGTTTGAAAAATCTGTTTCTGGGTTTTGGATTAGCCAGGATGTTGAAATATAACTGCCTGTAGCTGCGTGGCAGCTGACCCTGTCCAAGATTCATTTTTGAAAATTACAAAATCAGAGTTTGCAAAAAGACCTGCCCAGTTGACAAGTGCCCATAGAGAAATAGCGCAGCGAACATTATGTTCTGGTTCATGGGCTTGATTCGCTCCTGTGTGATATTATGAAGCGCAACCTTGAAATCTGAGTTTCAGTTCTGGGATTGTTGGAGAGCCCATTGCACCCATTTCCATCTCATTTGTATGTTCAATAAGATGAACCGAAAAGTTTCAACTTCTGTGCGTTGCTGCTGGTATTTCATTCTTTCTACAGTCATACCTTGGAAGTTGAACAGAATCCATTCCGGAAGTCTCTTCGACTTCCAAAACATTCAGAAACCAAAGCACGGCTTCTGATTGGCTGCAGGAAGCTCCTGCAGCCAATCGGAAGCCGCAGAAGCCCCGTCGGATGTTGGGCTTCCAAAAATAGTTCGCAAACTGGAACACTCATTTCCGGGGTTGTGGTGTTTGGGAGCCAAAATGTTCGAGAACTAAGCTGTTCAAAAACCAAGGTAGAACTGTATTTGTAATGTCTTCATGGATAACTCTTTTTGCTTACTAGGCACAATGAATTTGACTTCATTTCTGGCACACGCATGAGGAAGCTGGCTCGTGAAGGCGAAAACCCCCCTGAAGGATTCATGGCGCCGAAAGCTTGGAAAGTGTTAACTGAGTACTACATGTCACTGGGAAAAAATAATTAATTTTGCTTTTATCCAAGTGCATCTTGGTTTTTAAAGATGGGCTCTTTCAATTGATTTATATGCTGTTCTACATCTTCTACTTTGAATTTTTCTGCTGTTTGTGGGCATTTTCTTCCCAGCTTTCCCCCCTCTGAAGTTATTAGGAAATTTCCTCTTAATTTCAAAGGAAAGCCATAGAAGAGATTTTATTGTACATATATATATATATATAAAGAGAAAGATTATGGGAGTCCAAAGCCATATACTGATTTACCACAGCCTTTCGAAAGAGGTTGTCTGAACTGTGCAGAATTATGCAGCTGAAAAATTTGGAGTTATTTATCTGTTCTTCTTTGTTGCTTTTAATTCATTCCCAGCTTGCTCAATGCAATTAAGTAGGACTTTTGCTCCTCCTCCTCCAGAGCAGCACTAAATGGGAAGTTTACCTTCTGCCTAACTTTGGCATGGCCTTTCATATCTCTTTTAGCGGGTTGATGCGACATTATTTTTTAAATTATGGTGATTATTAATAAACACCAGCATCCTGATTCATCTGCAGAAACCCTCAGAATTCCACATCAGATTTCTTCCATCATCTCAAATCAATTTTCAAACTGTTGCAAGCAATTTGGAGAGTCCTGGGAAGTTGATTTAACACTTAGCAGGGGTTGCAGGGCCAGCTCAGAGCACTTTGTTGTCTGAGGCAGAACAGCAAACAGTGTCCTGCCTTCCAGTTCAAAGTGCATAGTATCCAAAGCCAGTCAAGTTATTTTGGCACCTAAGGCAGAAAATTCGCTGTACAGCTCAGTTGGTTAGAGCATGATGCTGATAAATCCAACGTCGCAGGTTTGATCATTGTTCTACTTTTGAACTCCTAGATTTTTACACATTGGACGGTAAACATTGCAGGTGCCGTGAGGGAACTAGGGTGTTGTGGTCTGAAGTTTATACCATGAATCCATTGCTGAGGTTTGTCTGCCACATTCAATATGTGAAGCTCTTTGGAACAGCCTGGAACTTTTATTGAATCCAAGCTTTTTAAGTGAATCCCTAGCCTTCATGAATGCAGACTGGATGTTGTATTGGCAAAGATTGTTCCATAATGCAGAACAGATCAGCCATCCCTGGGGCTGTATGGGAATTCCAGCTGCTAGTCATATTCTCACAATTTAGCAATAGTTGCACTAAACCTCATTGAGGTTTCTGGTTAATCTAAGGTTCTTCCGAAATGTGATCTAGGCATTCGAGTGCAAACACGATTTGTTATACAAATATTAATATGCTTACAAAAGCAGTGGTTGTTTGTGCCAGTGCTTCAGTCAATTGTGACTGCATATGAAATTTATTATGAGACTTTAGCATAGAGGGGGGAGAAAGCATGCTACAGTGGCGCCTCGCAAGACGAAAATAATCCGTTCCGCGAGTCTCTTCGTCTAGCAGTTTTTTCGTCTTGCGAAGCAACCCTATTAGCGGCTTAGCGGATTAGCGCTATTAGCGGCTAAAAGGCTATTAGTGGCTTAGCGGCTTAGAAAAAGGGGGGGAAGCGGGGGGAATCGCAAGACTCGCAAGACGTTTTCGTCTTGCGAAGCAAGCCCATAGGGAAAATCATCTTGCGAAGCAACTCAAAAATGGAAGACCCTTTCGTCTAGCGGGTTTTTCGTCTTGCGAGGCATTCGTCTTGCGGGGCACCACTGTATATTCCTTCTCTTCAGTCTTAACTGCTGTAGTTAAAATAAAAAAGGCGCTTGAAGACCAACACTGAGTTAGGCACGAGAGCTAGCACACTGGTATCAGTCCACCTTATTCTTTCAGAATAGTAACTAAATATTTCCCCAGTCTGCTAAAAATGCCTTTTTTAACAGTGCATTCCTATGCATGCTAACTCAGAAGTCTCATTAAGTTTAATGCCGCTTACTCTCGGGTGCGTATAGGATTGCTGCCTTAGCTTCTTCCACATGTGAACATTGTTCATATGGAATACAAAGAGAAATGTATTTTGTAGCCCACGTAGGTTTTACATTCAAATTACAGATTCTGGAACCGTAGCATGTGCTTTGGTCATGAAAAGCATCCATAGATTTAGAAGAGGAACCAGATGCTCTTCTGTAAGCAGAGAGAGTCCCATCTATTTGTCTTGGAGAGGAGGACAGCTTATCTACAGAATTCACAAAATGCTGGTGGTAGTAGTAGTTGGATTTAAGATAACACAAACCCATTGAAGTCAATTTCACCAAATCCACCTGATCTGAATGTTATTCAGTCGTACAAGGGACAGAGCACAGAAACAGGCAGTACTTGTGTATGTAAAGTTGCTGTAAAAGTTAAGAATATAACAGGTTAATGACAGTACAGGGGGACCAAACCCTTCTCCCATGTGAGCAGACTGCATATGTGGGACTCCCTCCCTTCCTGCTCCTCTTCTAATAAGTTTTCCTCCCACTGAGAGCTGAGCTGGCCCAACAGAGGCCCTAGGCCAGGGCATGGACCGGATCGCGCCCAAACTTTGGCCAAGTGTTTAAGTCAAATACAAATTGCAAACTTAAAAACAACATCTGCCTTTCCATCTGTCTTATCTAGGAATGAAATAATATGGTTTCTAAAGATTGTGAAATGATGTTCTTATTTCCTGTAGCAATCATGCAACAAACACATCTTTACTGTCTCAAAATCGTATTTGAGAATGCCTTTTAACGGTTCCAGCTTTTAAAGTTTTGGAATCCTCATGACAAAAACCCAAAAGTATAGTAGGGCTGCATCCAAAAGTTGTTCTGTTGGCGCAAGGACTTTTGCTTGTGCACTGGAACTCCTCCTCCCCCTGTGCACCCCAAATCTGTTATAGTGGTTCCTCCAAAACTCCGGAACAGATTTGTGGTTGGAGGTGCGGCAGCATTCAGGAAGAGAAAGAGGAAGTTCCGTTGTGCAAGCAGAAGTCCTTGGGCTGATGGGATGACTTGGTCAGATACAGCCCATGTGTTCTTACAACTTGTGTGAAACAAATGCAGCCACTGGGCAGAGAGAATCGGCTGTTTTTGCTGTACAACAGGCTGCATGGGATCTGCAGCAAACTGCAATGAATTAACTAGAGATTGAAAATCAGCTAATGTATATTAACAAGAGTGCCTTTTATATCCAAGCCCTCTGGAAGGGACCTTGAAGATAGAAACGATCTTGCCATTTTATAATTTAATTGATATTTTAAATAGTGTTTATATATTTCTTTTCTTTTTAACCTTATACTACTATATCCAGTGCCATCAGTTCAAATATATATGATGTACTACTCCTTTTAAATAGTTAAAAGAAGAATATTCTGTAATATTTTATAGCATATTTATTACAGACACGAGACTGGAATGTATGCCTTAACTGATATATATATATCTTGATTAAAATGTCTTCTGAATTTTGTATCCTACTACTAGAATTTGCTTTTAATATCAATAAATATTTCTATGTTTAACTATTTCCCGACATTTCTTATTTATCGAAGGCCAAAACCTGCTGCCTACTGTCTGCTACCCCAAAAGCCATTGGCTAAGATGCTGTGATGTCATGGAATGTTCTGTGTGGCACTGTGTCATGATCAGTGTGAAGTTGCCAGCGGCTGAATGTTGTCAGAGTCCAACTTGGAAGAAAGCGAACTTCATTTACATAGGCAGAAGAGCTATGTGCTGTTACTAGGAGGCAGGAACAAACAGGGTGTGCAGAGTGAAGGCCGAGAACAGAATAGGAAGCAATCACATGGCAAGCTTTTGCTAAAAAGCATGATGTTAAGTATTTTAAATCAAAAGGAGAGCTAATGGAGTCAGTAAGATGATTCCATGGAAATGTCTCGGAAGTACTGAGCAGAAGCACAGAGAGCTGAGGAAAAAACCCAAAGGCGAGACAGAAACCTCTGGCAGCTGATTTCCCCCTGCTGCTTCGTTATGGCAACACTATCACTGGAATGAAGTAACCTGGTTTTAACCTGGTCTGAAGGGGGAAGATGGCTATATGGAATGAGACTGGAACTTCAGGTAGGGAGGGCTCTGCACTGAGACTGGGTTACATGTTCTACAAACCCAACTCTTCTCCACTTATTCCCCACTTGTCTCACATTCAAACAACCAGTTTGCACATGACAGGTTGTGCTTGGGCAGCCCAAGAATGTGCAGAAGGGACTGGGCTTGAAGCACGCATGCAGCTATGTCCAGTCCCTATGCTCTGTCATCCACCACAGGTGGGCGAGGCATAGATGCATGGAAGGATGTACGTAAAAGTCCAATCCAGGCAGTAGGCTTTTGACATACAGTGAGGGGAGATGTGCTAACCTGAGCCCTGCTCTTGTGCCTTGCCATATGTAGAAGTCACACAGCAAATCAGCATGACCTCTAGTGGCTTATATAATTCTTTTAAGGGAGAAAAAAGAGCTCCTCTTTAATGAAAAATGAGATTAGGAAGGGGGGGGAGTGGAAGTTATTTTTCCATGTACACACTTCGGAGATTTAACGGCTCACTTGAAGGACAAGCACCTTTTGGACAAGGTTAAGTGTTTTAAGCTCTAGAGCTCTGTAATACAACAGATTTCTTTACAAGGGATGTCTGAGACCAGAAGTAGGTATGTTTGTGCACTTTACTCAGGTATCTGGCCTGAGTACCATCTGGCACTTACTACCATGAAGGAGAAAATGGGGGCTAAATTGAAGATTGTGCTCAAACAAGTTTATGCAAACATATCTCCCTTTCTAGGGTGTCCTCGTCTTGCGATACACTCAGAAGCAGTGTTAGAATGAAACAAGGAATATTCGGAACAGTGATACTGACTCCAACCTTCCTTTAGGACAGAGTATACAGGAAACTCTAGTACAGAGTGTGTTAAAAGAGGAGTGCCACTCAAGGTGACCTGATTTCTCAACAACACACAAGACCCCAAATTCCTTCCTGCTGGCATCGCTTGTGCACAGGCAGCAGGGTGTGGCAGCTGCCTGGCAAGCCCTAGAAAACTCAGGTTCACTGAGATTCCAGAAATCACAAGGCAGGGCTGATAAGAACAGCATTTACTGGCACAAGGACATACATTATGCTTTTGGTCTCCATCCAGAAGAACTGATATTAGATCCTGCACTCTGAAAGCAGGATTTAAATAGCATTTGCATCTAATTAATATGCACCTGGGCAAAACTGCTGTGTTGGGCCATAAATACAGGTAAGATTAGAGTTGGAGGAATCTTGTCAACTTCTTGCTGGAGCTGGAAAGTCCAGTTTAGAGCAGCCTCACCCAACTTGGTGCCCTCCACGTTCTTTGGACTACAACTGCCATCGTCCTCAGCCATTAGTCACACTGGCTGGGGTTGATGGGAGTTGGTCCCAACACCATCTGAGAGCACCAGGCTGAGAAAAGCTGGTTCAGAACATCTCCCAAGAGATGGCTGTCCAGATGCAGCTTAAAGCCCTCTAGTGAGGCAGACTTCGCCATCCGTTTAGGCAACTGGTTCATTGTTGAACTGAGTTTACAGATAGGAGAACTTAATGGTCAACTGAAAGCTACCCTCCTGAACCTTAAGTCCATTAGATCTACTCTGTGCCCTCTAGTAGCAGA